GGCAAATACTTATTCCATACCATATTCCCAATGTTAAAACTGTACCTGGCACCTTGAAGACACTCCAATATTTGCTAAGTTAAAATATAAAAGAATGAATGCATGAGTTAATTTGATTACCAAAAGGAGGTGAGTTTGATTTCCAGTCAGTATTAGGTTAAGAACCTGAACCAGGCTGAGGATGTAGCTTAGCATTCAAGTTTTTGCCCAGGATGTGCAAGGACCTGGGTTCCATCCCTAACACTGCAAAGAGGGAAAACAAAACAAAACAAAATCCTAGACACTCATCAGTACTGAAAAGATATATCTTTATTCATAGTAGCTAGTCTAATTTTCCAATCTCCCTCAACAAAAAGTAGACGGCCAAAAGCCAGAGATAATCTATGCGAAGAGATTTTGAGCACTTTGACAAATGAAGCTTTAGGAAGAGAGGTTTGTAGCTTGAATGTCTTCATATGTTTATTATTTTACTGAAAACTAATGCAGCTTAAAATTGTGTGTGTGGGGGGGGGGAGACAACTAATCCATTATTCATCGCTCTGAGAATGACACAATGTTTAACAGACCCTTGTCTGGAACATTGTAGATACCATTTTAGTGATTCAGATTTTGTTTGGTTGGTTTGGTACCAAGGATTGAACCTGGGGGCGCCTAACTACTGAGCCACATCTCCAGTCCTTTTCATTTTTTGAGTCAGGACCTAAATTTCTGAGGCTGTCTTTGAACTTGCAATCCTTCTGCCTCAGCCTCTAAACTGCTGGGATTACAGGCATGCACCACCATGCCTGGCTTTTTTTTTTTTTTTTTTTAAGATGGGGCTCTCACTTTTGTTGCACAACTGACCTTAAATTTCTGAGCTCAAGTGATCCTTCAGCCTCAGATTCCCAAGTCTGTGGGTCTATATAGGCCTGTACTACCATGTCCAGATATTTTGATGATCAAGTTTGCTGATTTGGGAGGGAGGTGGGGGACTGCAGATCAGGCTACCAAGCTCCTAAAAGGTAAAGTGACTTGTCCCAAGTCATCCAGAATGACATTTTATCAAAAGCATAAATATGTATAAATAAGCACCTGGCTGCAAACCTTAAATAGGAGGAATAATATTACATGCATATAAATGAGAAATGAGCCTAGACTTTTGAAAGGGAAATGTACAAAATTCCACATATATGGGTAAAACAGTAATGTCAGTGAAAACTTAGATACAAATAATCTATATTAGCCTCACACCCTTAGGGGTGAAAATTACAATTTATACTCTTAAAAACTCTGGTTCCTGGACCAGAAATGAATTACAGATAGGATAAATGCCCAAATTCTCTATGAATGGTTGGCTTACTGGATCCCTAGGACCAAATAGGCTTCTCAAGCCTCTAATCCCCCTCCAGCCATATACCCTTAGCCACCTATAAAGTTCCTAACCTTGCACAGTAACCTTTCTTCTTATCCAACACAGAGTAGTACTGCCAGAGAATAAAGGTAGCCAAAACTGGTGTAGTCCATTGGCCTAAGTCAATCCCAGGCATAACTCATAAAAATTCACTGCCTTCACTGTAACTCAGGTGCCACACTCACAACTTCATCCAAAGTCTTTGCTCAGAGCTGTGTGCTATAGCCATCTCAATCTATGATGGTTTGCATTTAATGAGAACTTGTCACATGTTCTTATTTGACCCTCTCTCAACACTAGCATACCATAAAGATTACAAGCAAAGTCCTGGATGGTTCAAATGGTGGTTCAATTCCTCGATCAAGCACTTTGTTAGCCATGTGACTTTTCTTCAGTGCTGGGGATAGAACCCATATATGAGCTGAAGAAAAATTATTTAATCTATAGCCTCAACTTCCCCTCTTATAAAGTAGGTTTAGAAATATCTAGCTTGGGCCCATTGGTGTTCAACTATAATCCCAGCAACTCAAGAGGCTGAGATAGGAGGACAAAATTCAAGGCCAGCCTCAGCAATTAAGCAAGACCCTGTCTCAAAAAATAAAAAGCACTGGAGATATAGCTCAGTTGGTAAAGCATGCTTGGATTCAATCCCCAGTATCAAAACAAAACAAAAACCTATAAAAATATCTATTTTGGTTGTTATGAAGATTTTATTAACACAAAAAAAGCACTTTGTGTGTGTGTGTTTGTTTGTTTTGTGTTTGATGAACTGAATACAGGGCTTTGAGCATGCTAGGCAAGCGCTCTGAACAACTGAGCTACATTCCCAGCCCTGAAAAGCACTTTCAACAATGTTTAGTACTACAGTGAAATGTTGGATGACAAAAATGAGGCAGAGTTCCTGACATCCAAAATCACATGGCAAAAAGGTAGCACCAGGATTCAAACTCAGGAAACCTGAGACAAAAGTCTTATTCTCTCAGTAGTTTTCAAATCAAGTCCCACCTCCAGAAAGTATTCTCCAACGACTGGGGATACCACATCCTCTCCTTCCTAACCTAATCACTTGTCTATCATTACTTATTAACTATAACTGTTTCATCGAGGTAGGTCATTGAAACTTCCACACTGTAACTTTCTCTAGGTCAGACCAAGAGCTCAGCTACCTGAGCACTGCATTTCAAGCATTATAGACAGATATTTCAAATGATTTACAGCTAAACCTGAAATCCTATTTTATAACCTTTTTAAAGGTATAAATTTTCCATATACTGTCCTCCTCTATTACCTAAATTCCTATTATTACACAGCATACTTGTCCATAAATCCAGTAATGAATATATTTTCATTATGATTTCACTCAACCATGGGAGTCCACAGACTTGACTTGGCTGGACAAAATGCCTGAAAAACCAATAGACTATGCAAGGACTTTGCCAGAGCTTAACTAGGGGTTATGACTAGTAGGCAGCCTACCTGTAGAGACTGGCCCCTCAGTGATAGTCCCATTCCTCCGTTACAAAAGATGGGGCCCCAGGCCCACCCTAAACAGAATTTAAAACAAGGTCCAAACTCAAGAGAGAAAGCTGGCAAGGCTAGAAGTCTCTATGTGGCCTTGTTCCAAGAATAAATCAACTAAAACTTCTCCAATGACTGCAAAGTTGTAGAGGTGACAGGTGTAAAGTTGAATGATCAGAAGATAGACTGAGAGCACATTTCCTAAAACATACATCAAATGTCCCTTCTCTCATTCACTAAATCCAACTTTTCCCAAGTTATAGGACCTTGGAAATCAAATTTAAAAATCAAAGTATGAGTGCAATATGGGATTAACACAAATGGCACAATTTAAATTAAAAAGGGGGAGTTTTAAAACATCTGCAAGAGAAAAGAAAATGACAAAATGATTTAGCTTTGTAGCTCCTTCTGGCTTGAAAGCCTGAGGGCTGAGGCAGCAAGGGTATCAGGACCTAAAAATGACAGACAGTTAAGAGTGATCAAATAGGCCAGGTCACTCTGAAGAGTTGGGGCTGCAATAAAGAATGTCAACACTGGCCCCGAAAGCACATTAAGCTTTTTGCAGGAATCATGGGATTGGGACAGTGGCAGAACTCTCACTGAAGAGAAAGGAAGATGACAGAAAGCCACATTGAAAAAGAAATATTGCAAATAACAGAGGCCACAATCACAGCCCTATAATTGACCCTCAATTTTCCAGGGTACTTAATCAAAGGTCAGCTTGTTAGCATGGCCCTCAGATCATTCCACCATCACACAGAAAAGTAATAAGAAACTTATGAAACTTCTCTTCCCATTCTTCCCCAGTCCTGCAAAGAAATAAAAAGGAGCAGCAAAGCACCCAAAGGCAAAGCAATGAGCAGAAAGAGAAGCAAAGAAAAGAGCTATGGCCCCCGTACCCCCTTGAATGACCCCATTTAGCATCCACAAATACAAGCTCATGGTTTTAAAACCACATTATTTTTGCACATTTGGCAGAGGGAAGAGGAGATCGAGGGCAAACTACTCTTGTCATAGGCATGTTCATATGACGCTAAGGAGGCAGACACCCCATCTGGACTCTTCTTGACACACATACCTCCCCAGTGAACTTTGCCCTAGCAGCCTCCCAAGTCAAAAATCTCTTAAAGCACCCTTTCCACAGGAGCATTAGTAGGTTTTCCTGATATAAACCCATCCAGCCAGTCTTATTTCATTCACCCATCATTACCAAGCCTCCATCTTGTTCTCTTGAAATTGTCATATTTTTTGCCCAGGTCCTCAACTCCCAGCTCTGGAGTAAGAGTATAGGCAGAATCCTCAATTTCTCACCCAATTCCAGCATCCCCATATTTCATTTTACTAGCACCTCACCCACTTCCCAGTCTGTTATGACACCTCCAAATATAAACCCAGCAAGAAGACATCTGAAAACCATTAACAGATGGGCACAGGGAAAGAAGTCTCAGGTGCTGTGATGGGTTGGCAGGATGCAGGACGACACTCCATGGTGAAATTCAACAGGCGAAGTACCAGGACACCCTGGCCAGAATGCCTCACAACTGCTTCAAATTTTCCCTGCCCCCTCCTTTCTCCAACCACAGGGCAGCATCAGATAGGGACATTACTCCCACCCGACTATGGCTCCCTTCCAGGTCCCAGCCCCGGTGCTCATTAGAGCCAACTGTCTGAAGGATATACCCCACCTTGTAAACACCATAGCAGCCCCACTTAATATTTGAGAAAAGCCAACCCCTACAACCACCCTGCTGGAGCTCAGGTTGTTTCTGGAGAAAAGGAAGGGCAAATAGCCAACCATAGGCAGAGGAAAATGGGTATTATATTACTGCATTTTGGTGTGACCAAATTGAGGGCTAAGAAGTCCAACCACTTGGTCTGGACTCTCCTGCCCTAAAGATGGCTGAAAGCTAGTAGGACGCCGATGAGCTAAATCCCACTGGGGCAGCAGAGATATCATTCTAATTCCCACATTCAAACCCCGTTCCAAACCCACCCTGGTTTCTGAGGCTATCTGCCCTTTAGTTGTCATGACTTCCTGGATGTCAAACTGGCTCCTCTGACACTGAGTGCAATCAAGACAATGACAACCAGGTTTCCAAACTGCAAATCGCCCCAAGTTTTATTTGTAGTCCATACAAAAGGGGGGGAAATTAAGGTTTTCTAACACCACCTACTTGGGGAGATGGGGAATTGGGACTGTGCTGCTCACCATCGCTAGAACATCAGTGGTGAGCAGGGATTTGGACACATACCAACTGACTGTCCCAATAGGATCTCAGTCTCAACAGTCTACAGAGGAACAATCAGGGCCCCCTGGACTGCTGGCACAGCTTGGCGCACAGGAAATGGTTAAGCTAACCCTTTCCTGGCCTCCCTCACATCTAAAAGAAAAAGGCGCCGCCGACCTCAGCTGCAGGTTGCTTCCCCATCCACACGACCTTAAATATCGCGCACAAAAATAAAAGGGAGCCAGGAAAAAATAAAAACAAAAGTGATTCCCATTCTGGAGAGATGGGAGGCAGGGTAGAGGGGAAACCGCAGATCTAGAGCCAGTAACAAGATGTGATGCTGAGGCGAAGGAACAAAGTAGGTTACTGCCAAACACTCAAAAGGATGGTCTCCTGGGGAAGGCCCACATGGTAGAGGGAGGGGATGAAAAACCGCAATGGGAGAGGTATGGGCCAGAGTGGTTATAACCTGGGTCTGCACCCTACCTACCTCTCCCTCCCTCCCCGTGGTGCCCCATCCCCAGGATGGCCCTACATGCGGCGCTGGTAGCCAGAGTGCATCTGAGCTGCCCGCAGGTAATCATTATAGGAGCCCGAATAGCGTGCGTAATCGGAATGGGCATCGGGCAGGCGACGGTAATCCAGCGAGGACTTTGTCGGCGAGCGGCGGAACGAAAGCTGCGACTCTGATAAACGGCGGTAATCAGAGAGCTCGGCTAAACGCCGGTCGGAACCATACCTAGTCGAGAGAAGAAGACAGTTGGTGAATGAGACAATTGAGGGGAGGGCTCCAGATGGGCATGGGGGAGATGCCAATGGGGACAGGGAGGGTGTGATCAGATTGGTCTCCAACAGTTTGGTTTCCTTTTGTCAGAAGGTTCTTCACCCTATCCAGGCCAAGAAATCAAGCCTGGGTTCAACTCATTAGGAAACCAAGCCTTCCACTGAAGCCCTCCTTTCCGAAGTGGCCAAGGTGAATTTTGGTCTATAGTCCCAAACCACAAACAAAATATCCCCACCCATGGGTCCTACACAAAGACCTTGGTTGTTTATCAACAGAACGGCGGATGAAAGCAAGGTCCCCAACTTCCCAGAGTGTGGACGCATCTCATAAACTTGCCTTCAGCCATTAAGTGCCAAAAGGACTACTCTTTCACGCCCACCCCCACCAACACCAGGACAACCAGGTAACAGGCTTAAGAATCCCTGAGACATAGGGAAAGGGTATGAGCCACAATCCTGCAGGCAGTGGCTCCTATGGCACCTGGGCTAGTCTAGAATGGTGACATTTTCCCAGCCTGACTGGTACCACCCCAGGCTGAGCTCTGTGCTCCACCTGAACCCTGGTGACCAGAAAAGTTCACAGACACCGACCCCCTCGGCCTCTGCACACCCCACAGGAGTAAAGGAGAAAAGACCGAGGAAGGGGCCTAAAATTCCCCTCCCATGCCAACCTCAGCCCCTTGCCCTAAGCCCCAGCTGGGGGCAGAGGCGGGGGGGGGCATACAGTACCTTTTCGACATGGCGACAGCCTTTTTGTAGGGATCGTCGTAGCTGGCCCGGGGTGGGGAGAGGCGGGTACGCTCATAGGGCGGCGGGGTGCTGTTGGCGTTGGCAACGGCCCCCTGGGACATGGACAGGTAGGCTGCAGACGGCTGACCTGCCCCATCGTAGGCATTGCCCGGCTGGCCACGGTAGGAGGCAGCAGCCTGGGGATGCTGCTGGGCAGCATAGGAAGCAGCCAATGAGGCTGATGACTGAGTGCGGTAAGGAGCTGCCAGGGTGGCAGAAGGCTGGGCCCCGTAGGCAGCTGCGGCACCATAGGAGCCAGTGGCCGCAGCAGCCGACTGAGCCCCATAGGAGCCTGACAGGCCCATCGATGCTTGGGCCCCATAACTATTCAGTTGGGTCTGGACAACTGGCTGGGCCCCATAAGAGCCAGCCATTGGGGTAGTGGCTTGTGCAGCATAGGCGGCTGGCTGGCTGGCATAGGCAGCAGCTGTGGCTGGCTGTGCCACATAAGCAGCAGGCTGGGAAGAGTAGGAAGCAGCCTGCTGTGCAGCATATGGGGCAGACTGGGCATTGTAAGAAGCCGAGGGCTGGGCATTGTAAGAAGCTGCCTGGGCTCCATAAGCTAGCGAGGAGGCTGCAGACTGGGCCCCATAGGAGGCAGCCTGAGCCCCGTAGGAGCCTAGAGAGGAAGCTGCTCCCTGGGTGTTGTAGGAGGAAGCAGCTGCACGAACCCCATAGGAAGAGGCAGCCTGGGCGCCATAAGAGGATGGCTGGTTACCATAGGAGGCAAGGGAGGAGCCCTGAGCCCCGTAGGAGTTGAGCGAAGAAGCTGCCGCTGCCTGACCCCCATAGGAGGAGAGGGCTGAGGCTGAGGGTTGGGCTCCACCATATGGGCCGAGAGAAGAAGCTGCGGCAGACTGGGAGCTAGGGCTAGCCAGCTGGCCCCTGTATGGGGCCCCAAGGGAGACAGAGGGCTGAGCGCGGTAAGAGGCTGCCTGGGCTGTCATGGGCTGAGTCCGATAGCCGACACCCAAAGAGGCAGAAGGCTGGGCCCTGTAGGCAGCTCCCAGCGACACTGAGGGCTGGGCCCGGTAGGTGGCTGGCTGGGCCGTCAGAGGAGCCACATAAGAGGCTCTGGGAGGTGAACGGCGCAGGGGGCTTCGGTCGCGACCAAAGAAGGGTGGCGTGGGCTGACGGGCTTGCCCATCAAAGCCACCAGTGCTGTTGCCAAAAGCCTGTTGGTAGTCGAAGGTGGCAGAGAAGCCACCAGTTCCAGGGAATGCCGTATCCCCAGCCCCTGGTTTCTTGGTCTTGTCCCCAGACTGGATAGCCAGGCCAGGCCCCTTCTTCTGACCCTTGGTTGAGAGTTCCACGTTGATGCGCTTGCCCTTCACTTCTTTGCCGTTGAGCTGCGCGATGGCGGCTTTGGCATCTGCTTCCTTCTCCATGTGAACAAACGCGTAGTCTGATAAAGCAGCAGACAGAGGGTTAGCAATTAGGGGGGCAGGGCATGCTACCCGATGGGTCCCAAATTGGATACAACAGCACCCAGCTGTTGCCAGTTACCTCCAGGCCACCAAACCCTCCTCTCCAGGAGTATGTCATAAAATATTGGCTCCCACATAACAAAGCTTCTGACTGTCCCAAAGAGTCACCTTTGACTAGGGCTTTTTCCCATTCTCCCCTTTCCCCCTGCCACTTCACCCAACTCCCTGGTGAGAAAAGAAAGAGTAAAGATGAACTGCAACACAGGATAAAAATCTTCACAGCTACTGTAAGAATAAACCAGCAGACAAAACAAAGAAAGGGTTTCTGGATCACTCAATTATTCAGTGTTCTCATCCCATGCTCACCAAACACCACCACTCACCTTTGACACTTAGCTCTCAAGCACTAGAAACAACTACTCACATTTTGGCACAAGCCATTTCTCAGCCTAGATTAATTAAGGTGAAAGAGACTCAATTCAGGCAAGAGACTACAAAGAGCAAGCAGTTCACAAAATTCCTCCAATATAATCTCCCCTCTTTTCATATTACTTTCCAATTTTCAAAGTACTTTCATGCACACAACCTCACTTGGGCCTTACAACAATCCTGTAAGGTGGCACGACAAAGGATCATCATCTCCACTTTACTGCTGGGCAAACATGTTCAAGAATTTTTATGCGGCTTACCCTTGCCCAAATCAAAGTATATTAATGCCAGGACCAGTTTTAGCTCTTCTATGCCCCATGCCCCTTTGCTACACCAATCTGTCCTTGGGACAGATTGGTGTAAGGTATAACTGTGTAGTATGAAAAAAAAAATGTAAGCTTAGAAAGAGAGATGCTAGACCCTATGTACACCTACAAGGTAAGGGAATGGAAACTAAGACCCCCTCCCCCTCAGGCATATTACATCCTCCACCACTTCCTCTTTAAAGGACAGAGAGGTATACCTTATCCTTTGGAGTTCTGTTCATAGGACAGACTGCACACAGGAAAGACCTGGTTTCTCAGCTATGAGGCAAGAAGCTGTAATCACTGCAAGCTAGAAGGTCACCCCTGAGGCTTCATTCAAGACCTGAATGAATTGTGTGAGGAAGAGGAACTAAGACAGGCTATAAATCTCAAAACTGAACTATTCATCTACTACAGAAGAAAACTTTAGAAAGGAAAAAAAATTCTCGGGGTTGTGTCCATACTAGAAATTGTAGAAATTGCAATGGTGCAAACAGGACCTGAAGAACAATGAGAGGAGCTTGTCCCTGAGCTCTGCAGTTAAAGGCCCTATGGTTATTTTAAGAAAAAAAATCCAAATGCTGGGATCCAATCTCTGTCACATTAGTTTAAAAAATAAAAAGATACCTCGAAGAAGTTACCAACATCCTATTTTCCAATAAAAGATATCCTTTTTATGACCTTCAAACAAGTGTCCTTATTTTTAGAAATTTTCATTTTTAAAAATAATGGAGATACCCTCGCTTGCATACCCACAGATCTATTTCTCCTAAAGAATATTATCTTTCATCTCTAATAAAACACAATGTCATCTGTACACACAAACTTGGAACCTTCTAAAGATGATAAAAGAACAAAATGAACTACCTCAACCCTCAAGTCTTCAACACTCCCACAGACAGAGCCTGATTCCTTATTTACCAATTATAAAAAGCTAAGCATTCCATTTCACTTGGCCACACAGTACTAGAATTATCCTCTGTTCTTCATTTTGGATAGCTAGCTAAAAACAGTAGCAGGTGGTCTAACGTCTCTAAAAACAGAGACTGTGCTGACCCTCAGGAATGGCAAAACCACCTAGAGAATGCAATGACAAGCAGAAAGGCTCACTCAAGGTAAAGAGAAAACAGGAAGATCTGCTAGAGCCTGTAGGCAGACTGGGGGAGGGGGGATGAAAGGGGACAATCTCCAGGCACTGTGAGGGATTAAGGAAACACACTACATTCCTGATTATTTGGTCTACAAATTCCCCCCAAACATCCATTGTCTACTCCCTACATAGCTGGGTTTTATTAAGAGATCAAGGAATAAAATTTAAAAACTGAGATTTCAGGTCTGGAGATGTAGCTCAGTAAGCAGAGCTCATGTTTAATATGTGTGAGGCCCTAGGTTCAATTCCCTGCACTGCAAAAAGAAAAGGCGGGGTTGGTCTGATTTCACATGTTCAGTTCAACTGACAGCCCAGATGAACTATGTAACTGATGATGGGGGAAGATACAATTATAGCCAAATTATATCTAAGTTTCTAAGCCTGATATCTGAAAGGAATTATAACTAGGTTTCCAAATGACTGAATCACATCAGGGTTAACTGTGTCCCATCACACTGAGTAGCCAAATTCAGGCCTAACCCCATCAAAGATGCCCAGAATCCCAATTCCTTCCCAGCCATCAGAGTAGCAGAGATCCGAAGAACTCCAGGAACTCTTTTGCCTGGATAGTTAGCTCAAAGTAATCTCTCCATTAAGACTAGCATTAAACCTAACAAGTAGTTCTGCAGATACCTCCTAATGGTCTGATGACATCACAATCCCTCTAGTACCAAAGTTAAGAGAATCCAGAAAAACAACTTTTCCTATCCTAAGATGATTTTTAAAAGACTTTGAAACTATAGAGCTCGGTATATAAAGGATGGCTACCCACACAAGAGAAGGGATAATTTTCCTCTTCTGACTCAGACCTCCCCTGAAGTCTGCAATGGCCAAAGTCTGCAAGTGGTTCTTGAAGCTGTTCATCTTTGAACACCCAATAGGACACAGCTGCAGAGAGTGGTTACCACTGTTGCTATGGAGATTTTTGGTCTACAAATCATATCTAAGCTCCTAGAGTAACCAAGCAACCATGTTTTTCTCCTGTGAAATAAAACAGAGCTAGCTGTCCTGTGCTTTTCAAAGACTTGACAGGGCTGAGGGTGTGGCTCAATGGTAGAGTCGCTAGCACAGCATGTAAGGCCCTGAGTTTTAACCCCAGAACTGCAAACCAGAAGACCTGACAGCAAATCAAATGCTCATTCACAGTCAAGAAATGAGTAAGCTATTTATTGAGCCAGTCTCTTCTATAACATTCCCAACTTTAAATCCTAAGTTTTTTCACCCCTAAGAACTATAAAGACATCAGTGAAGGATATCAGTGCATCAGGTGCTATTGCATATAAGCCTAACAAACAACAATGGAAGACACCTCCCTGAGGAAGTCAAAGCATTTCAGCTAACAAATGTTTACAAAGGAACAAAATGCACAAAATTTTCCCTCTAACTCTCACAGGGAATCAGCCAGAAATTCTAAAACTCATGTAAAGTTATCATGCACTTTACCACCACCACCACCACCACCCTTCCCCGGGTCACTTAGTGTTGATCCCAAACAAATTCAAGAACATTTTTGGCTTTCTCTATCACTTGAGAACAAGCTTCTTGATCATGAGTTCCATAGAGATTGCCCCCAAGTACTGATTCTAGACTCTCAATCTATCAGTCACCCTGCCTAACAACTACAAAAGAAACCTAACAGATTAATTAAACACAAAATTCTCATACCCCTTGCTGGCCAAGTACCCAAACTGACACCCTCCCACTCTTTCATTCTCATCAAAATCAAAAATCCATGCACCATACATCCTGCCTCAGAGCACCCAGCAGGAAAGCCCGATTCCGGATAGTCTCGTGGACTTGCATAACCTAAGTTGAGGAAAATAGAATGGAGTATTAATGCAGAATAAGAACTTGTTCCTAGCAAGGGACACAATGACCTTTTACATTTCCCCAACTTGTGGAAAGGACAAGGAATGGCCAAAGATGTGCCTTTACCGGACAACAAATGAAATATCTTTGGTGACCATGAACAAGCAACTGCACCCATTTATTTCTCATCCTCAAAACGTCTCACACAGGGTAAGAGCAGGCATGAATCCAACACCAGGAGGGCATCACATACTCCCAGGTGCATCCTTGAAAATAACAGGGCAAAGTTAACTCAGATCTGTTCCCAAGTGGAACAGAGACAGGCCACATATACACAAGGGCTGACCCATCAAATCTTCCCCAAAAGAGAAAGAACTTAGGGGATAAGAACCCAGAATATTAAAAAAAAAAAAAAAAAGAAAAGAAAAGAAAGAAAAAGAAAAAGAAAAAGTCGACTGGGCTCCAAAAAGGAAATCAAGCCTAAATTATGGTGACACATTTTTCTCAAAGAAAAGGCAAACTAGGGATCTGCTCTGAGAATTAATTCAAGCAATGACAACTCTCAAGTAAATCGTTTTCAGCCAATGTTTAAGGAAGACCTCTCACACATCTCTCCCCATAATCCCCTCAGCCAAAGTATGCCCCCCTTGCAAAAGTCTCCAAGCTTATGAAAGAATGACACTGCCCTGGGGCATCAGTTTGGCAAGTAAAGCTATACAAAAGGGGCCCTCATAAAACAAATCTCCTTCCACAAGCAAGAAGGTCAGGGTTTCCAGTTAACAGATCTAAAATCGAGCCCAAAGGGTGGGGAAAGAGGGAAAACAGGTTTAAGGGAGTTGGACCACAGAGCTGCCACGTCTAACCCATCAAATACTGAAAATACCAAAGTGGCTCGGAAGGGGCCCTTCCTGTACCCATGAGGAGACCCACGCCAAACAATACTAAGAGATCCCAGCCCGAGAAACGTCCAAGGGCCCCGTTACCTTCCGCTTGGGAGCATTCATCGGGAGGGAACACGAGGGCGGCCTTGGGGCGTCAGCCCCCACCTTTTCCCTCTTCCCTTGCTCTGACCGACGTCTGGAGAGGAAGTGGGGAAGTGGCGAAATCTTCCCCGCTCCATGATCCGGCTTGTGCCCGTCACTTCCCAATTTCCGCTCGGTGCCAGGCCCAGGAGACCAGAAGACGCGCCCCCGGTACACTCGCAAGTCTCTGGCGCGTCCCCGGCCCCGTGGTTCGGCTCGCAGTGGCCGCCGCACCCTCCCAGAGCCGCTTCCTCCCACTTGGTGAACGGTGCCTGGACCGCAGGGGAGGAGGGTGGCTCTGCCCAACGCACCCCCAACACCTCTGGCCTCGCCCCAGCGCACTTCCCCACCCGGCCCAACCGCGCAGTGACCGACCCCCGGGTAAGGGGCGTGGCTAACAGGCAGAGTGCCCCGAGCGCGCCCCCGCCCCCGAGCGTGCCTCCGTGTTACCTTTTACCACGTCACACTCGATGACGCGTCCGCGGCGCTCGAAGAGGCTGCGCAATTCCTGGCTCGTGCATGCAGCCGACACATTGCCCACGAAAATCTTCCAAGTGTTCAGCGGCCTTGGGCGCGACATCTCCACCACGAGCGCGCGCCCCGGCCGCAGCTCGTGGCCGTGCAAGGCCTCGATGGCGCGCAGCGCGCCTGCGTTCTCGCGCATGTGCACGAAGGCAAACTGTTTCATGACGGCGCAGCTCATGACCGTGCCGTAGGGCGCGAAGAGGGCTGCCAGCTCCTCCGGCGTTGTATCCGCCCCGTCGACGTTGCCCACGAATATCTTCATTTTGCCGCCGCAGCCGCCTTCCCGGAGAGCCGGGACCGCTCCTCCAGCGACAGCCGAGACGTCCGACCGACCGGCAGTCCTCCCCAGGAATGGCTGGCGACCGAGAACCCCGCCGCGCAGGCGCGCTGATCTAGCCAATCGGGACGGGCATCCCGCGCGTGCGGCAGCCAATCATAGAGACTGAAAGAAGATGCGCTCGGGCGCAGCCAATCCCAGAGGGCCTGGAGCCCGCTCGTTAGCAGAGGGGGTGGGAGAGGGACGACGACGCGCGACCAACCGCCGCTGCCGGGGGGAGGGGAAGGAGGGTTGGAGAGGAGGGAGCGCGCGCGGGCTGCGCGGGCGGCAGAGGCCTAGTTGGAGAGGCGGCCTCTGGCCAGGGTGGGGCCCCGACTCCTGGGCCCAAAGGAAAACTTTGTTCAGTCGGAAGTCAGGGCTCCTCCCATTCTGGCAGTCTTAACTAACCCCGTGCCTGGAGACGGCAGCGTGAAAGACCCGAGGAAGGCCAGGCCTGGCGGGAGAAACCGGGACCAAGCCCTCTAGTCAGCAAACCGCCCCGGGACTGTGCAGGGCGTCCGGGGGTCCGGAGGCGTCTACCCTAGGAGTCCTGATGCCATTAACTCAGTCTTTGCAGGCACATTCCCCCCGGCGCCGGGGTCCGGGTAGACACTGCAGACAGCGAAAAATTAGAGCCCGTACCTGCCGTGATGGAATTTTCAGTCGAAAAATAAGGAAATGACTCTTGGATCTTTGACGTTTTCCACAATTAAAACATTTACAAAATGGAAAATTAAAATAATCCTTGAAGAGGCAAAAATTGAGCCTCACAAAAGAAAGGAAAAGTTTTAAACCGACAGATTTAAGTATGTAAAGATTTGTACATGGCAGAAGACACACCAAAAACAAAGTCATGTGACAAATTCGCAAATATTCTTCACATGTTCATTCAACATACTGCATGGAACACCTGCCATGTAGATGTTACAGCATCAATGATATAGGAGTTAAGGTTTGGATCTGAACCCGAAGGCTTATATGTGGAAGTCTTGGTCCCCAATATAGCACTGTTAAAAGGTGAGGCTTTGGGGAAGTGACTGGATTATTATTGTTTTTTTAAAGAGAGAGTGAGAGAAAGAGAGAATTTTTTAATATTATTTTTTTTAGTTCTCGGGGGACACAACATCTTTGTTTGTATGTGGTGCTGAGGACCGAACCTGGGCCGCACGCATGCCAGGCAAGCGCGCTAGGGCTTAAGCCACATCCCCAGCCCTAAGTGACTAGATTATGAGGGCTTCAACCACATCAATGGATTAATCCATCTGATTTGTACCTGAAGGGGCTACTAGGAGGTGGTGAAAACTGTAAGAGGTGGGACCTATTTAAAGATGTAGGTTTTTGTCTGCCATCTCCACAATTGATACTCCCCCTGCACCCTCAACCATCTCCCCATCCCCACCTTTTCTGTGGCCATGGGGATGAGCCACTCTGCTCCACCATGCTCTTTCCCCCATGATGCTTTCCCTTATTATAGACCCAAAGCAATGGAGCCAAACAACCATGGACTGAAATCTCTATAATCTTGAGCCAAAATAAATATTTCCTTAATTAAGTGGATTTTCTCAGGTATTTTGTAACAGTGATGAAAAACTAACACAGCAGTGAATAACAACAACCAAAATAACAAAATCTCAATCTTCTCGGAGCTCTATATTATGATGGGGAGAGAGAAAATAAACACAGCAGTTAGATGGTGATGAAGAATTCAAGTAATCAAGATGCCATCCTCTGAGGAAAGATCATTCCAGCTGGAAAGTATAAGTCAAAAAGTTCTGGAGCAGGAGCAAATCAGGCTGGTTCCAGAAAGAGCAAAGAGCCAGTATCCCTGGAGCCTGGAAAAGGGAATAATAGGAAGAGAAGAAAGGGGGAAGGGTAATGCCACACCTTGTGGGTCATTGAATTACTCTGGTTTTCATTGTAAGGCTGGAAGTCTATGGAGGGCATAGAACATAAGGGTTGATCTGATATGACATCTGTTTCATAGTTTTATAAGTATTCTACCTCCTCTTAAGGTGAGTAAAAAGACTATAGAGGAAACAATTGTTTCCTCAGAATAATTATCGCCACTGCAAAAGTCCAGGAGAGAGATGATATGAACAAGGTTGAATTAAGGAAAAGTGATCAGATTAGATGTAGTTTGATGTCAACTATCACCACTGTGATTGGATGTGAGTTGTGAAAGGGAGGAGTTAAAGACGACATGGAGCACATGGAAGCATGGAGTTGCCATTTACTGAGATGGGCTACATTATGAGAAACACTTGCTATGAAAATCAGAAATTCAGTTTTAGAGATTGCTATGATCTGAATGTTTGCATCCCCCAAATCCCCTAGTTGAAACCTGAGTGATGGGGTTAGCACGTAAAGCAGGTGGTACATACCTGTAATCCTAGCAGCTCAGGAGGCTGAGGCAGAAGGTTTGAAAGTTCAAAGCCAGCCTCAGCAATTTAGTGAGGCCCTAAGCTATTTAATGAGCCCCTGTCTCAAAATAAAAAATTAAAAGGGCTGAGAGTGTTGCTCAGTGGTTAGGTGCCCCTGGGTTCAATTCCTGGTACGAAGAAAAAAAAGACTGAAACTCGTGCCCCGTTGAAAGATGCCCCAGCCAGGTGTAATGGCACAGGTCTGAAATCTCAGCAACTTGGGGGCTGAGACAGGAGGATCGTAAGTTCAAACCAGCCTCAGCAACTTAGTAAGACCATGTCTCAAAATAAAAAGGACCTGGGATATAACTCAGTGGCAAAGCACCCGTGGATTCAATTCTCAGCACCAAAAATAAATAAGTAGATACCCCAGTAGCCAGTTGTGACTCAGGAAGCTGAGGCAGAAAGATTGCAAATTCAAGGTTAGTCTGGAAAAATTAGTGAGACTCTGTCTCCAAATAAAACTTAAAAGAAGGGCTGAGTTGTGCTCAGTGGTAGAGCAGTTGCTTACATGTGTGAGGCCCTGAGTTCAATCCCTGGTGCCAATAAAAAATTTTAAAAAAGGAAAAGAGCATCATGGGCAATTGAATGTGTCTGGAGTTCAGGACTGAAGGTATAAATTTGGAAATCTTAATAGTTAATATCTATACTATACAAATAACTGCAACAAATTGATGAAGAAAAAATTAGGCAAATGATCAAGCATTTGAACTGACAGTTTTATAGAAAAGAACTGCAAATGGCCAATAAATAAATTGCAGTCACAGGGAAATTCAATTTCCTAAGAAAATGAAAATATTTTTTCACCTCTTCAGATTTGCAAAAGTATTGCCATCTGTTGCTGAGAAAACCACATTCATATACGGATGATATCATGAATTCTACATCCTTCTTGAGAAATATTCAGACAGTATCGAATTTTGTGCTCAAGATTTTGTGGGTTTTTATTTATTTGTGTGTGTGTGTGTGTGTGTTTTTGGGTTTTCCATTTGTTTGTTTTGTTTTGTTTTGTTTTTTGGTACTGGGAATTGAAACCAGGAGCATTCTACCTCTGAGCTACCATCCCTAGCCCTTTTTATTTTTTTTTTTTTATGAGACAGTATATGGCTAAATTGCCCAGGCTGGCCTCCAACTTGTGATCCTTCAGCCTCCCAAATTGCCAGGATTACAGGCATGCACCACCATGCCAAGTTTGTCTTCTTTTTAAATATATAAGATTTTTTTATTGTAGTAAAAGATATATAACATAAAATATTATTTAAACTCTACTCAAGTGCACAGTTCAATGGTATTAAGTACATTCTCATTATTGTGCAACCATCACCACCATGCATCTCAGAACATTTTTATATTCCCCAGCTGAAACTCTGAACCCATTAAATACTAATCCCTAGAGCTGGAATGGTGGTGCATGCCTGTAATCCCAGCAGCTCTGAAGGCTGACACAGGAGGATCAGGAGTTCAAAGCCAGCCTGAGCAATAGAGAAGCACTAAGCAACTCTGTGAGACCCTATCTCTAAATAAAATATAAATAGGGCTGGGGATATGGCTCAGTGTTGAGTGCCCTTGAGTTCAATCCTAGCACAAAAACAAACAAACAAACAAACAAAAAAAAAACAAAACAAAACACCTAACTCCTTTCTCCCCTGCCTGGAAACCACTATTCTGCTTTCTTTCTCTGTGAAATTTGACTACTCTAATTATTTGATATAAGTGAAATCATACAATTATTTGTTCTGTTACTAGCTAATTTCACATAGCACTTCAAGATTGATCTATGTTGGAGCAGGTATCAGAATTTCCTTCTTTTTAAGGCTGCATAATATTCCATAGCATGTATATACCACATTTTGTTTATCATCCATCAGTATACCCTTGGGTTGCTTCCACTTTCAGGCTATTATAGACAATGCTACTATGAACATTGGTGTACAAATATTATTTGAGACCTTGCTTTTACTTCTCTTGGATATTAAACAATATCCTGTAATTCCACCCAGTAGTGAAATTGCTGGATTTTGCTTGTTTTTTAATGGAAGTATAATTTATAGACAGTGATACTTTCCCTTTCTGGTGTATAGTTCTTTGAGTTTTGACAAACACCCCTATGACCATCATAATTGAAGTATAGAATAGATCTATCACCATAAAAAGCTTCCTCATGATGTCTCTTTGCAGTCAACTCCCATGCTCAAGCCTCTGGCAAACACTTATATGTTTTCTTTCACTATATTGTCTTTTCCAAAATGTTGTTTATTAAATAGAGTCACATATATGTCGCTTTTCGAGTATAGCATCTTTCACTAAACAGTGCATCTGATATTCATCCATGTCATTGCTTGTATCCATAGTTGGTTCTTATTATCAATGATTGACATCATAAGAATGTACCACAATTTGTTTTTCCATTCCACAGTTGAAGGACATCTAGATTGTTTCCATTTTTTGGAGGTTATGACTAAAAAGTTTGTGTACAGGCATTTGGGCAAACAGGTTTAATAAACCTTGGTAAATATCTACAAAGCACAAGGTCATTTTGAGCAATAACAAGATTCTATAAAGTGTTGAGCACTATGTTAAACACTATGTTAAGCCCAGTAAATGGAGCTATTAGGAAAGTTTGCTACAAAATTTTATTATCAATCAAATTAAAAGAATGTATATGAGTGGAGACATATCGCAATGGTGGAGTGCTACACACAGGAGACCCTGGGTTTGATCTCCAGCACCCCCTACCACACATACATAACAGAGGAGAATTTGGGGGGACTGGAGGATAATCCTGAATCCCATTTTTACAAAAAAAAGACACACCTCTCTTCTGTTTTGTTTTGTTGTTGCTAGGGATAAAACCCAGGGTCTGATACATACTGGGCAAATACTACCACAGAGCTATAACAAGCCCCATTTTTTTTTTTTTAAGTTGGGACTTAAAATAAAACTTTGGCATGCTTCAAAATCACCTAGAAGACTCTTAAAAACAGTTTCTAGTCTTTAACCCAGCATTTCTTCCAGGCATGGTGACATGCCTGTAACTCCAGCAACTCAGAAGGTTTGAGGCAGGAGGATTGCAAGTTCAAAGCCAGCCTCAGCAATTTAGCAAGGCCCTAAGCAACTTAGGGAGACCCTGTCTCGAAATAAAAAATAGAAAGGGCTGGAATGTGGCTTATAGGTTAAGCATCCCTGGGTTCAATCCCCGATACAAAACAAAACAAAAAAGTTTCTGGCCAGGCGAGGTGGCACACGCCTATAATCCCAGTGGCTGAAGCAGGAAGATTGTAGAGTTCAAAGCCAGCCTCAGCAAAAGCTAGGCGCTAAACAACTTGGTGAAACCCTAACTCTAAATAAAATACAAAACAGGGCTGGGGATGTGGATCAGTGGTTGAGTGCCCTTGAGTTCAATCCCAGTATCAAAAAGAAAAGGGTGCGGGGAGAGGAACAGGGAGAGGGAGAAGGAAAGAAGGAAGAAAGGGAAGGAGGGAGGAGGAAGGAAGGAAGGAAAGAAGGAGTGAGCTCCATATCTAGCCCCATGCCGTGGCACCTGTAATCTTAGCTACTCAGGAAGCTGAAGCAGGAAGATCTCAAGTTCAAGGCCAGCGTGGACAACCTAGCTAGACCCTGTCTCAAAATAAAAAAATAAGAAAGGCTGGGGATATAGCTCAGTATTTGCCTAGCATGCATGGGACCCTGAATTCAATCCCCCAGTACATAAAAAGAAGGGAGGAAGGAAACAAGGAGGGAGGAAGGGAGGAAAGGGAAAAGGAAGTGTTTATAACAGAGCCTGGAACTTAATACTATTATATAATAAGCACAATACAGGTATTTGCTAATATGATGAAAATTTCCTTTTTAAGTAAGTTTAAAAGTGAATCAATTTAAAGAAAATTACTTGGTAAATTATAGCACAGATGATTTATAGACATGGTGAAAACTGAGGGGTAGGGCCTGAAGTTGTAGCTCAGTGGTAGAGCACTTGCCTAGCATGTGTGAGGCACTGGGTTCAATTCTCAACACCATATAACAATAAGCAAATAAAATAAAGGTCTATCAACAACTAAATAATGTTCAAAAAAACTGAGGGGTAGCACAGAAATGCTTGAGTTTACAAAGAGTTTTTAAATATTTTTTTTTTAGTTGTCAATGGACCTTATTTTATTTATTTATATGCAGTGCTGAGAATGGAACCCAGTGCCTCACACATACTAGGCAAGCGCTCTACCACTGAGCTACAACCCCAACCCTTGAGTTTGAAAAGATTTTCAAACTGTACTCCCTAGGGTTCTAGGGCTTTGGGGGAGTCCTGTGACAGGACTCAGCATCTTTGGTTGCAGATATACTTCTGTTTTGCAGATGTGGCTTCAAGGCATCTCAATAGTGTTCTGCAATATGCAAACAATTTAGAAATCACATAGCTCAGAGTTCAGAAAGAGAGCAGCTAATGGGCATGTTGATCTCTTAAGAGTGTTAACTGAGTGGTAGGGAATGGTGAGTAGTTCAGCTCAAAACGGTTAAGCCCTGCTGTTATTCCAGAATGGAGGTGTAAGAAGGTCAGGGGTTGGCTGTGGACAGAACCCAGAGATTTCTGTAATGGCCAGGAGGTAGGGAAGACATCCTGGATCTCAGGCTTAAAAGGATTTGGCTCCAGGGACCAAGGGGAATAGGAATACAACCGCGTAAGTTTTGTCAGAAGGAACAGAGTCCAAGGCTGGCACTGGAGGTGGTGCCAGCATCCTTGAAGTGGAAAACAGGCAGGGCCTAGGGAATGGGAACAGAGCCAGGAGCCTCAAAGCCAAAGCCAACTAACTATAAAGCCCCCTCCTGATTCCAAGCAGGTGGCACAGGGGCAAAGTTTGTACTTCACCAGGTTGAAAAAGCAGTTTTGTTAAGGATAGGAAAGCCTAACGTGGCATAGGGTGGGGGTGTTGGGGGAACAGCTGAGGGGAGCCCAAAATCCAAGGCCCATGTGCTATTTTGGTTAACAGCCACTGGCTGAGAGAGGAATTTTGCTGGGGTTGTCTCCAGGGGCCCATGTGGCCTCAGAATCACAGCTTCAGCTCCCTTAACTTAGCATGTACCAGGCTTTCTGCCAAGCACTCACTTAGTAATTAAGACTTAATTAGGTTAATTAAGAGTTTTTTTTTTTTTTACTTGTGAGTTGATAAAGAAATCAACTTGAGCCAGATTAATTTTAAAAGAGTATGGGGTCCTAAAGTTCCTACATTCTTATGAGTCCAACCACAGGGAGAAACTACAACTAGATCTGCTCTGATTTCTCAAGGAATGCAGGGGCTAGCACAGGTGGAGTTGATTTGATTCCAGTCAGCCAAGTGAGGGGAAAAGGGAGGCCACACACAGGAATACAACTGCTGTGGCCCTTCACTATTACCCTAAAGAGGAAGAGGGGCCTGAGGCCTGGTGTGTGGAACTTTTTTTTTATTTTGGCACTAGGGATTGACCCCACCTTTTTTTTTCCAGTTGTAGTTGGACACAATACCTTTATTTTATACATTTTTATGTGGTGCTAAGGCTTGAGCGCCTCATACATGCTAGGAGAGCACTCTACTACTGAGCCACAACATCAGCCCCAATCCCAGCCCTTTTATTACTTTTTATTTTGAGACAGGACCTCACTAAATTGCTGAGGGCCTAAGTTCCTGAGGCTTGCTTTGAAATTGTGATCCTCCTGCCTCAGTCTCCCAAATGCCTGGGAATACAGGTGTGTGCCACCACTCCTGGCCAGTGTGTGGATTTTAATCCAGGTTTTTTGGCTTCAAAGCTAAGGAGTAGCCCTGGGGCAAAACACAGAGCAGAAAGACTATGTTCACCAAGTCCATTAAGGGACACAGAGAGACAAAAGCAATGTTCCATATGAAAATAAAAGTTTAATTTGCCAAAGGAACCTCACAGTGACCCCTATATGCCCTGTGCCCAGTCCTCCTGGGCCTGAGCAAGCACAACTCACTCTTCTTCCTCTGTAGGGGGAAGGTGCTCAGCTGGCAGGACAGAAGAGAATCAAGGCGAGGCCCTGCTCAGAGGTGAGCAGGAGGCTGGGCTGAGTCCTTTCGGCCCTCACCAGCGATGGGCCGGCCTCGCTCCTCCCAGATGGTGAGGCCGTCACAAGAGCAGATCTGCTTGGGGTTTTGGAAAAGACCAGCGGAACGTGCAATGATGCCACAGGCCAACCTGAAGAAGGATGTATGGTCAGAGTAGACCCTTGTCTGGTACCTCCCAGGGTCCCATGTGTGCCACTGGCAGAGAACAGCCTCCTCTTGAGGGCAGTTACCCACCTCTCCCCGGAGTTTCCTGTGATCTTGGATAAGGGATGGCCACCCCGGCCCAGGTCATCTTCTCCCTCATCAACAACCAGGCTGCGACCAATCACGTCCCACACCTTTGAAGGGTAACAACAGTCTCAGAATCACTGTCCCTTTGGGAAGGGCCCAACCTTATTCCCAGCTCACCTTCAGCAGCTCATCCTCTATCCGGAAGACAGCTCGGCCATCAGCATCAGCATGGACATTGCCCAGGTCTCCGCGGTGCTAGTTGGAGACACAGTGGGAAGAAGGGTTACATGGGGGCACAGATATTGTTATCTTCTGGCTTTGTAGTATCTGATTTCTCTTCCCACTTCCCAAAACCACCAATTTCTTCCTGTGGGCCCAGTCAGTAGGATCAAGGGATGTTCTGGAACTCAAGGAAGGCAACTTGGACACTCCTTCCCTGAACTCAAATCCTAGGGGAAATGCCAGCACCCTGGAAAGGGCCAGCATCCCCATTCTGGGCAGTCACCCCTATTGGACCAGCCTGTCTTTCCTACATTGTCCAGCCCTACTTGCAGCCTTGATAGCCCAGTTCTTGCTTCTTTCCAAGCCCAGTTCTCCAGCCTCCTTTGGCTCTGCAGGCCCTTGGCAGTCTTCAATTCCCCTAGGCTTAAGTTGTGACAGTTGGCTTCTCTAACCATCACAGGAGCCAGCATCACTTCCCTGACTCCTGGCTCAAGGAAAGAAAGAAGAAACATGAGAGGGCAAAGGGCCTGTCCTGGCTCCAGAAGCTGGGTTTCCCCCCTTCATCCTAGAAGGTAAGAAAAGCATCTAGCCAGGCATGATGGCACATGCCTGTAATCCCAACAGCTCAGGAGGCTGAGACTGGAGGATCGTGAGTTGAAGCCAGCCTCAGCAAAAACTCAGTGAGACCTTGTTTCTAAGTAAAATACAAAATAGGGCTGGGGATGTGGCTCGGTGGTCAAGTGCCCCCGAGTAGTTCAATCCTCCCCTCCAAAAGAAAAGAAAAAGCATCCTAACACATCTCCTGAATACCTCTAGTCAGATACTCTGGCAGGCATGGTGGGGTACATATGTGGTCTCCACCCTCAAAGGCCTCCGATATGAAATAGATGTGATCAAGAACATAGGTGAGGGGCTGGGGATGTGGCTCAAGTGGTAACGTGCTTGCCTGGCATGCGAGGGGCGCTGGGTTCAATCCTCAGCACCACATAAAAATAAAATAAAGATGTTGTATTCACTGAAAACTGAAAAATAAAAATTAAAAAAAAATCTTTCTCTCCCCCCTTAAAAAAAAAAAAAAAAAAAAAAAGAGGTGGGGCTGGGCATGGTAGCGCACACCTGCAATCCCAGTGACTTAAGAGGCTGAGGCAAGATCGCAAGTTCAAGGCCAGCCTCAGCAACTTGGCGAGACCCTGTCTCAAAATGAAAAATGAAAAGAGCTGGGGGGCTGGGGATGTGGCCCAAGTGGTAATGCACCCGCCTGGCATGCGTGGGGCACTGGGTTTGATCCTCAGCACCACATAAAAATTAAAAAAAATAAAGATATTATGTCCACCTAAAACTAAAAAATAAATATTAAAAAAAGAGCTGGGGATATAGCTCAATGTCAAAGCACCCTTGGGTTCAATCCACAGTACCAAAAAAAAAAAAAAAAAAAGTAACACAGATGAGGACAATAGCTGGTATGTCCTGGGGTGATAGGACCTTATTGGTAAGCTACAGAAACCTACATCTGTGCAAATAAATCATCCCTGACCTGACATTTGAGCAAAAGCAAGTGCTGGAGCCAGTGTGGGCTGCTCCACAGGCCTTGCTGCTGCATAGCAAAGCACACCAGCACGTGGTGGGTGACAGGGCTGACAGCAGCAAGAATACTGTTTCTGCTTTATCTTCATGTTCAGAGGGGCATCTGTGGCCAGCATCTGTGGCCAGCACCTGGCACTTTTTGTTATATTGTCCTGTGTTGGGGACTTTAATGGTAGAAACCACCATCAAGGTCGGGGAGGTGTCAGGGCTAGGCTGGGAGCAGGCTGGGCATGACCCTGCAGGGGGTAAGGGAGAGACTGTCTTCCCAGTCCCTCCCCTCAGCACACAGGCAAGTGGAATTGGGCCAAGGAGTCCTTGAACATCACACCAAGAAGCTGGGCCCAGTCTGTACCCTCAGGCACTGGAGGGCCAAGAAGGGTTTCAGGCAGGAGCGTGGCATGGTCCTTCCATGCTTCAGAGCAATCCCTCAGTACATTGTATGAAAAGGCAAAACTGAGGAGGGCTGGGAGAAAAGGGACAGAAGCTTAGAGATCATTAGGAGAGATGTGCAAGGGACAACCAGCTTGGAAACGAATTCCCACAATGAATTCATTTCCAGTGGGGCAAAACCAAGTGCTGTATGGAAACTGGAGATCTCATGACAGCCTTGGCTGCTCAGCTCTTACTCACTTCTTCCTGGGGTGCAATATGGCTGCCAACTCCATCCACTTTGGGGCAAAGAACCAGGTGACAAGGTAGTTTCTTGCCCTCCAGAAACACTCCTGCTGTGCCATACCTCCTGGCTGGCCTGGCCTCCAAGCCACCGCCACCCCCCCACCCCCCACCCCCCACCCCCCCACCCTGGATCTGCCTTTCCCACGCTCATTCAAGGCTCAAGGAGGCAGGCAGGGTGGAGATGCACCTCCCCTATCCACATCTGTGTGATTTACCCCCTGGAGAGGGGGCTAGACTGAGTGTCACTTCCTAGATTAGGTTACAACAAGAACCTGGCTTCAGTCTTGGAGGCTTTCACACTCTTACTCATGTACTCTAAAGGAAGCCAGCTACTGCCCTAGCGAGAGACCCACGTGACAAAGCACTAAGTATCTGGCCAACAGCCAAGGAGGACCCGAAGCCTGTCAACAGCAACTCTTGCAATAGCAAGCTGGGAAACTGATCCTTTCCATGTTGAGCCCTCAATGACTGCAGCCCCATGAGATCCTGAGCCAGAAACACCCAGATTCTGGCCCAAAGAAACTGAGATGATCAAAGTCTACTGTTTTATATGCTAAAGCTGAGTCATTTGATTTGAGGCAGAAGATCACTAATGCCCTGGACACTGCGGACATTTTGTCTCCCCAACTTCTCAGGGGCAAAATTAGAGATTTTGACCACTAGAAACAAGACAGAGCTGTCCCAAATCCAAAATAATCAGTTACATGAAATAATAAACATACAAGTTGAATAATATCCAAAATGCTTGAGGTCAGTGATTTCCAAGTGTTTCAGATTTTAAAAAAGTTCTTATACACTTTACTGGTTGAGCAACCCTAATACAAAAATCCAAACTCTTAAAAATACACCTCACTCTGCAGTGGAGTACTTGCTAGCATGTTCAAACCTCTATACCTCTATCTCCTCCAAAACAAAAAGGACTACACTCAAAGTTCCAGATTTAGAGTATTTGGATTTTGGATTTTGAGGTTAAGGATGCTTACCCTGTACCATGGTTTCATTGGTTTTGTGTCAGAGGTTGAAAATGTTCATCAAGATAGAAAATAAAGCTGGGCATGGTAGCACACACCTATAATCCCAGCAACTTGGGAGGCTTAGGCAGGAGGATTATAAGTTTGAGGTCAGCCTCAGCAACTTAGTGAGTCCCTAAGCACTGTCTCAGTGAGACCCTGTCTCTAAATAAAAAAATAAAACATAAAAGGGTCTGGGGATGTGGCTCAGTGAATAAGCACCCCTGGGTTCAATCCCTAGTACCAAAATAAATAAATAAATAAAATCATATTTAAAGAAAATGTAATATAAAAATAAAAAAAATACAGGCAGGAAAAGGTATTTTACAAGGTAAAGAAGTTTTGAAGATCTCATAAGTAATGAGAGACAGATGTGAACAAAAGAAAAAAAATAAAAACAAGGCCCCGAGTCCTGCCACATTAGAAGGAGCTGGCAGGTTTCCAGCACCAGGAACCTGCCTTTGGCTGTTATCTCCAAGAGCTGGGGGGACATAGACCTCCAGAAAGGAGATGATAAGAGGTGTGACAGGGCATTAAGGAACATGCAGTCCCCCCTTCAATGGCTTCCAGCCCCTGGGAAGGCATCAGGAGGAAAGTCTCAGGTTAGTGTGAACAGGTATTTTACACCACTTTCATGTCCTCTAATCTGTACTTTGACAAAGTGACCTCAGTCCCCAAGCCTGTCAAGCCAGTCTCTAGCAGGACTTTAATAACTTTTTTTCTTTTATTGATTTATTTTTATGTGGCAATATCAAGTTTCTAGTTAAAAATAAATTTACCTCAGCTATCTGTGAGCCTGCAGTCCTAGCTCTTAGGGAGGGTGAGGCTAAGACCAGTCTGGGCTTAACATAGCAAGACCCTATCTCAGTCAGTCAATCAATCAATCAATCAATCAATCTTCCTTAGTGATATGAAATGAGGTCTTGATTTGCTTCAAAATACTGGTGGAGAAGGGCCAGGGACATAGACAAAATAATGGTGACCATGAAATGGTAACCTGAAGTTAGATGATAAAGACATGGCAGTTTGGGGTTTTTTAGAATATTTTGTAGCTGTAGATAGATATAATGCCTTTATTTTATTTATTTTTATGTGGTGCTGAGGATAAAACCCAGTGCCTCATACATGACAGACAAGTGCTCTACTACTGAGTCACAGCCCCAGCCCCACATGGCCGTTTTTGATATTTATTGCTCTACTTTGGAACATGTTGAAACTTCCTGGGATTGATTGAAAATAATAATAATGACAACAACAACAGTAATAATAATACAACTAAATTTATCGAAGGAAAAAAATGAGTCAACTTAAACAATTGAGGAAGGTACAAACCCGACTCAGATAATTCGAAAATCTTTGAGGTGGCATGTGATTGACTCCCTGAAGTCAGGGAAACAATCTTCTGGAGAGAACACAATGCCAGGACTGGGGTCCTAGTGTCAGGGGCAGCCTTTTTAGTAAAACCTTCAATTTCCACACCCTCACCTGCTCTGCTGGGAGGCGGTTTCCCACTGGCCCTTGGGTTGGATCAGGTGTCAGCCTGGGTTCCTGGGGCTCCAGCAAGGATTATACCACTAGACTGTGAGCCCCCTGGAGGCAGGCACTGGGCTATGCAGTGTTATTTCCCAAGGCCTTGCTCACAGAAAAGAATTAACAAATGTTCTTACACTGAACAAAATGAAATGAGAGGAAAAGACCCCACCACACTCCAAGGCCCCAGGAGCTGCCTGCCCAGCCTCTGAGACCTGGGTTTTCTCTATACCCGAACCCAGCCCAGACGAATACTTACCCGTTCAGAGTCCTCTGGTCCCCCATGAGATGTTCCATCAGGGTTAAAGTGGTCCCCACAACTAAGGAGGAGAGGTAGCAGGTGGGCAGCAGAACAGCAGCTCACAGGCCAAGTTGGTCCACTTTCTTCTCTATCTACATTTGTTTCATTCATTCAACAAATAGGCCTACTCTGTTCCAGGCTTTGGGGAGATGGCAACAAGAAGGAAGGGTTTGGATAGAATAATGGGTTTGTGTTTTGCCTGAATGAGCTTTTGGTCCAGGAGAGATATAAAGGAGTAAACATCTAATTATATGACAGTAGGACAAAAACTCTGTCACAGACCCTGCCCTTCATCTGAGAGGCAGTACAATAGTTCCCAGCAGGAGCGTCCGAATCAGACCTTGATTCAAATCCCAACTCTACCTTTCACATCCTCTGGGATCTTTTGTAAACCATTTAATCTCTTTGAGCCTCAGTTTCTTATCTGTAGGCTGAGCCTCCTGGGGTTCTTGTGAGGATCAGGTGTGAAAGCACACAGATGAAGCCACTATCAGGGATATTATGGATGATATACCTGCTGCAGTTCCTCGTGAGATCACCATACTGATGGACGTGGAGTCCATGCAGCCCAGGCTCTAGGCCGTCGATGGTTCCCTCGATGAGGCAGCGCTCAGGGGTCAGCTGTAGGAAGCGCACCACGCCCTGCACGGTGCCAGGGCCCCCCAGAATGGCCACTGCTGCCCCCAGATTCTCTGCAAAGTATTGGACACTCAGGCTGGTTTGCCACCTTACTCTGCTCTACCTCTTCATCAACTCAGGAAGGGCAGGGAGTCTCATATGACTTTCACACTGTCCCCAAAGTCACTCCAACCAAGAGTATGAGAATCGTCTGGGTAGATTTGAACCAGTAGTGGGCTAGCTCCCTCCCAGAGAGTCAGAGGCCAAGGACACAGTGGTCACTCACGCAACTGGCTGCTGCCCATGCCCTTGAGTACGGCCTGCCGCCCAGTGCCTTCCAGGAGCGCCTGCACCTCCTGGCTGGGCAGAGTGGTCTGCACCAAGACCATCTGGTTCTCCAACTGTACCTCCATACCCTGGATACCTGGGAGGAGACAGAGGGCAGAAGACAGCAGAGGAATGGCATCCGTGCTCACAGCGGGAAGGAGACAGCAACCAACCTTAATTTCACCAACCTTCCCATGGTCAGAAGTCCGCGTGGAGGCTTTCTTCTAGCTGGGTGAACTTGAAGAAGCTTTCCGTGAGTACTTTCTACATACTAGGTATCATTTATAACTTTTGAAACAGAAAATTCTTCTTCAAATATTTTTATAAAAGTGGGCTATCCAGCTGAATTCACAATAGCTAAACTGTGGAACCAACCTAGATACTCATCAATAGCTGAGTAAAGAGATAAATAACTGGATAAAGAGACTGTGGAATATTACTCAGCATTAAAAGAAAATAAAATTGTGGCATTTGCAGGTAAATGGATGGAGATGGAGAATATTATGCTAAGTGAAGTAAGCCAATCCCCAAAAACTAAAGGCCGAATGTTTTTCTCTGATTAGTAGATGTTTATCTATGATGGTGGGGGGGCATGGGAAGAATGAAGGATCTTTGGATTGGGGAAAGGGGAGGGTGGGTAGGGGTTATGAGGGTAGGAAAGATAGTGGAATGAGATGGACATCATTACTCTAGGTACATGTATGATTGCACAAATGATGCATCTCTACACTGTGTGCAACCAAAGAATTGAAATGTTGCGCTCCATTTGTATATGATCAATTGAAATGCATTCTGCTGTCATTAAAAACTAAGTACAACAACAACAACAACAAAATATATAAAGTGGGCTATCCATAGCAGCATTATTTGTGACAGCAAAAAGGTGAAAACAACCCAAATGACCATCAACTGACAAAAGGATAAACAAAAACAATATCCATGCAATGTGGGATATTAGCTATAAGAAGAAATGGAGTCTGGATACCTGATACAACATGCCTGAGCCTCCAAACATTTTGCTATGTCAAAGCCAGTCTCAAAAGACCACATGTTATATAAGCCTTTTTTTTTTTTTTTTTTTTTGGTTCTCGGAAGGGTATACACGGGGTACTTTACTACTGAGCTACAACCCCAGTCATCTATCTGTGTGTCTCCTTCACACAGGAGTGTTTAACCACTGAGCCACATCCCCAGTCCTTTTTTTAAATTTGAGACAGGGCCTCCCTAAGTTGCCGAGGCTGGCCTTGAACTTGTGATCCTCCTGCCTCAGCTTCCCAGGTGCCTGGGATTATAGGCATGTACCACCATGCCCAGCCTATGATGCTATTTATATGAAATGTCCAGAATAGTAGACAGAAAAGTTAGGGGTCAGGGTTAGGAAACAAGAAGTTGATACAGGATTAAAGTTAAAGGATACAGGATTTCTTGTATAAAATCATGAAAACGTAAAATTGATAGTGATAGCTGCACAACTCTGCGAATATACTGATTGAATTGTACACTTTAGATAGGTGAATTTATGTCAATTTTATCTCAGTAAGCCAGTTACATGCATTATAAAGGGGGGCTTATCACCACTACCTTGAGAGCCATGTCAACTGAGCAGGCACCATGGGCCAGATCCTCCTTGATGATTTTACCAGTATTGACTCATTTGATACCAAGAGTAACCCTGTGAATTAGGTGCTATTATTCCTATTTCCAGGTAAGGACACTGAGGCACAGAGAGATGAAGAAACTTGCTTGAAGTCACACTGTGGTAAGTTATGGAACTGGGAATCCCAGGCAGCCTTGCTCCAGAGTGCAGGCACTTAACCCAGATACTTGGCTCACCCCAAGAAACAGCCGGTCACCTCCAGGCTGGGCTGAGCCCTTACATACCTGTCCTACAGCAGCTCATACTTCCCCTGAGAAACTCACTCTGCATTGATTATAATCCTGTTTTATTCTCTAGGCTGCTATCTCTGCGAGGGCAGAAGCTCTGTGTGGATCACAGGGGTCAAGTTCAAAAGTCAATGTGTCAGAAAAAGAGCCTATGGAGTCCCCATTGCCCTTGAAGTCCCTGCAATTGTCCTGTATACATAAGTCTGCAGAAGGATTCTTATATACTCATGAAGAGAGCCTCAAGTAACTAATGCATATTATCTAGTTATGACTTTTAAAAAATCACCTTGACTTTAACAAGGAAAAAGTACTGGAGGGGAAATAGAGGCAATAGGGAGCTCAAAGCTGGCTTCTTGTATAGGCCAGGGAAAGGTGAGGGGGGCTTGCATTAGTACACAGGCCCAAGTGTGTTTTGAACAAACAGCAGATAAAGGCCTGGCCTAGACGTGTTTCCAGACCCTGGGGTCTTCCAAGAAGAGCTGATTCTCTGCTTCTAAAGCTCCTGTAGCTATGTCGCTTTTTAATTTCTGACCCAAGTCTGCACCAGAAGTCTCATTATCCAGCCAAGCAGAAGTTCCCTATGGCTGGTGAACCTCGGAATGTGGCTAGGCCAGGCTTTGGTTAGCCCAGGGCCTAGAAGGAAAAAAGAGAGACCACAGGAACTCCAGACCAAGTGATAGGAGCTCAAGGAGTTCAGCCCTGAGCTAGGAGCTCCTTAGACTCACCCCTGTGAGAAGAGCAAAGCGCTCCTTCCCAAGGCCAAGCAACACTCCTCTCTCTCTGTATTCTGGAGACTGTGATTCCCCTGCCCAGGCCATGAGAAACCCAAGCTGGTTGAAGTTACCCAGACCAGAAAACACAGGGTCACCAGATGTCTCTTTCTGGTACCTAAAAAAACCTGCTGAGGGCCCAACACAGCCCTCTATCCAACAAAAACTCCAGCTGTCTGCTTTCCCAGCAGGAATGTTTTATAGGAAATGGAAGGCATTGTGTCCTGGAAAAGCCATGCTCAGACACTCTGCTCTGAGTAGAAAGGCTCAATTTCCATCAGACCCTCACCTGCCATCCCAAAAAAGGAACCTAAGCAAACTCATCTTCAAGATCTGCCCTGTAGGGGTTGAGGATGTAGCTCAGTGGTAAAGCACTTGCCTAACATGCATGAGGCCCTGGGTTTGATCCCAGCACTGCAAAAACAAACAAACAAAAACTTTTCCCTCACACCTCCCTCCAAGCAGATCACCATCTGTAAGCCCTTCCTCTAATAATCCCCTGAGATTTTCTGGGCTCTTACTACCTGGCCAAGACTTTGCTAAAGTACTTTATAGGTATTAGCTAATTTACTCTTTATAATGATCCTTCAGGGTAACTTCTGCTATCATCCCCATTTAAACACTGCAGAAATACAGACACAAAAAGTCACATGTATGAAGTCTCCAGTAAGTGGCAAATAAGGGATTTGAACCTAAACAGCTCTGATTCTGGAGTGCACCCTGCTAACTACAACACACAATGCCAACCTAGGCAGGATGCAGGGCTACCATTTTCCTGGCTTCAGAACCCACCTCATCTCCTTCTCTCTCAGAACCATTTTTCCTGTTCTGTAAATGCCACCTGAGCAAGGCTTACATGCTCATCTTTACCAAAGCACAGTGGTGACCTTTCTCTCTAAAAGCCTCCCAGTATTTGGCCCATACCTACAGAATGGATGGAAGAACTTTTAACAGAATCAAAGGAAGCCAGTTCCCAGGGCCAAGCCAGTGGCTCTGCCTTCAAATCTTTCTGATTGTGCCAAGTCAACTCCAGACCGGCTGGCTTTTTAAAAATGCACCAGGGCCAAGGTTGCAGTTTGCTTTGTCAGGACTGTTGACTAAGCAAGAACAGCCTGAGCTTCAGGGAACTCCCTCAGTAGGAGGAGCTGTACTCTGACTAGCTCCTCACTCCAGGGAACCGGAGGCTCCGGCAGTTAGAGCCTTTAGAGGGCTCTGACAGGATAAGCTCCAGACCTGTATGCTAGGCTCTGCCTCTGGGTCTCTGTGTGCCTAAGAATATTCCTTTCACCCTCTGGGTATCCATTTCTGCATCTGTAAAATGGAAGTAGGGCTGGACTAACACACTAGCCTGGTTCTTCCCAAGGGACCAGAAAGGTTTATCCAGCTCTTACCTGCCACCCCTTGCAGGGACTTGCGCACCGCGTCCACACAGCTCTGGCAGGTCATCTGTACCGCGAACTCCAACTGCAAGGGACGCAGAGACCAGCCGATGAGAACTGGGGACCTATTATCTAGCCTGACCATATTTCACCACCTGACCTACACTGTAATCACTCCACGACCTGGAGACGTGCCTCATGTGACCCTTCTTCGAGTCTTTTTTTTTTTTTTGGGGGGGGGGGGGGTTCCTGGGGATTGAACCCAGGGACGCTTAACCACTGAGTTACATTCCCAACCCACTTTTTAATTTTTTTTTTATCTCCAGACAGGATCCAGCTTAGTTGCTGGGGCTGGCCTTGAACTTGCGATCCTCCCGTCTCCGCCTCCGACTCGCTGGGATTACAGGCGTGCACCACCGAGCCCGGCTAAAGCCCCTTCTTCATCGCCTCTCCTGATCATTCTAGGACCGTGGTTTCACCCAGCAACACTCAAGCCAGGGGCCTTGCTACCCTCGCGTTCAGTGGTCACAGTCGCCGCCCCAAATGCCAGCTCCTTTCCGGCTTCCCAAGATAACGATCACCCCAGGGGCTGAGGCTGTGCCGGGCGAGGATCCACTCGAAGCTCCGCTCTCACCGTGCACAGGGTCCCACTGTCCCCGGAGTCCGAAGCCATCCTTGTCCTGCTCACACCACCTGGCGGAACGCAACCACTCAAGTCCACAGGCCAACTCCGCGCAACGCTGCGAGGGGCGGAGCCCCGGGGAACCACACTTTGCCCCGCCTCCTGGCGCATGCGCACGCTTGGGCCTGGCCCGACGAATCCGGAGCGGCGGGCACTGGCTACGCAGGCGCACTCGGGCCTTCGGGCCCTGGTTACCTTAGTAACCATTTGGCGTCCTCTGCCGGGACCGAGGGCTCCGCCTGCGCTAAGATGGAGCCCCCGAAGGTAGAGTCCGAGTTACAGCGGTTTTATCACCAGTTGCTGAGCCCGCTGTCACTCTTACCCCGCAGGGTGACGCCCCCAGAGCCTCAGAAGCGCAGCCCGCAGGTCTTGAGAGTGCAAACCGTGTCTCTGGCAAAGCTGAGGGTGGCGCCGCTGTGCCGCCAGGTGGCCAAGCTGCTGGCCAACAGTGGGCTGGCGTCCTGGGTACCTTCTGAAGGCCGACTCCGTCTCACCAAGGTCATCCTGGACGAACTAAAGTGCAGCTGGCGGGAGCCTCCTGCTGAACCTAGTCTGAGCTACGAGAACAACCAGAAGCTGAGGAAGCGACTCGAGACTTACGTGCTGCTCAGCTGTGAGCAGCTCTTTTTACGCTACCTGCACCTGCTGGTGACTATGTCGACCATGTCGAAGGTCTTCACTGAATCAGCCACCCTCACCCGGTTGGCTGCCAGCCTTGCCAGTGATTGCACAATCTTCCTTACCAGTCCCGACGTCTACCGTTGCCTGCTCGCGGATTTCCAAACCCTTCTGAAGGCAGAGCACACCCACAGCAGCATGGACAAGCGGCGCCCACCCTGCCCCATTGGGCCTTTCAAACTGTGCCCGATCCCCTGGCCTCACAGCACGGGCTTCGCGGAAGTGCCATGCTCTAGCCTCAACCTGAACTACCTTGTCCAACTCAGCCGCTCACAGGAGTTTTTTACTGAGCCTGAATTGGATCCAGTGAAGGAATTGAAGTCCATCCCTCAGTTGAAGAGTAGAAAGCCTCTCCGCTGGCTGCCTACTGCAAGAAAAGAGAAAGAAATCGACTTCAGTTCTTCACAGATGGTGTCAATTCCCAGCCACTCTGTGACTCCCACCAGTAGAGGTTCCCTCCCCCATTCTTTACCTGTCCTTTCCCAGCCACAGAGAAGCCAATCCATGCCTTGTCTTCGTGAGGACTGGAAGCTGGCAGATAAATTGGGTCTTTCTACACTCCCTTCTCATTCCTTAACCCCTCTGGTCTTGCCTCCAGGAGAAAGCAAACCAAAGCTGACTGGGGACATTGTGGCTGCGGATCTGAAGCAAATGATAAAGAACATGAAGTTGGAGTGGACTCACTACTCAGCATTGGACTCTGGCTTGCCCCCACTCCTGAGGGTTGTGACCTACCACCCAGCTGCCAGGCATCACCTGGAGGAACTGCAGAGAATGTTAAAGAGCTTCCAGGAAAGAGAAGCCTTTGCACAGTGGGACCACCTGCACCTCAAATCCCCTCCACTTTATCCACAGCCAGTGACTACTACTTTGAAGTTGAAAAATAAAGTCGTGGTCCAGGCAGCAGCTGTGCGACTTTCTGATAGAAACTTTTTGGACTCTTTCCATGTTGAGGGGGCCAGAGTCTTGTACAACCACCTGGCTGGTGAACTGGACTCCAAAGTTATAGACGAAATGGATATAGAGCGCCTCATTGGCAGTAGCACCAAGGAGGTCTATGAAGAGTTGATGAGCCGTGTCTCTACTGACCATTTCTGTTTTGACCAAGGACCTCTGGTTGAACCTGCAGCAGATAAAGACTGGTCAGCCTTCCTGTCCTCAGCCTTTCTGCGCCATGAAAAACAATTTCAAATAGTCAACCCTGATCTGACTGGACTTTACCAGAAAACAAATGTTTTGCAGTCAGACGCTGAGAGGATGCCTTCTCCCACACCACCCCAACCAAGCAAAGGCTGGGAAAAGCGGTCAAAGAAGATCTCCTGGCTGACCTGGTGGAAAAGCACCCTGTCTGTGGATGACTACTTCAAGTACCTCACCAACCAGGAGACAGATTTCCTCCATGTCATTTTCCAGATGTTTGAAGAGGAGGCACCTGTGGAGGTTCCAGTATGCATCAAAGAGTCCCCAATTATTCAGCGGCCCCCCCCCTTGTTAGAAGATGAAGAGCCAGACTTTGTGCCAGGAGAGTGGGATTGGAACACAGTGCTGGAGAACAGGCTGGAAGGTGATAAGAACCAGATCCTGAGCCTGCAGAAGCGTCTAGAACGACTGTGGTCTGTTCTCGAGGTCCCTCACAACATCCGGCTGGACATGGCCATCAAGTACAGCTCCAAAGCCCGTCTGAGGCAGCTGCCCTCATTAGTAAGGGCCTGGGAACGGGCCTTGAAGCCCATTCAGCTGCGGGAGGTATTGCTGGCGAGACTGGAGTGGTTTGAACAGCAAGCCTCTGACCCCAACCGCTTCTTCCAAAAGTCTGAATTGGGCCTGAGTCATCTCCTGCGGGAAAATCAGTTACGCAGCTATTTCCACAGGAAGCTCAATCAAATTGAGGCTTCTTTGGTTTCCCTCCTGAAGGAGATTGAATTAATCTTTGGTGAACCAGTGACCTTCAAGGGACAGCGCTACCTAGACAAGATGAAATGGGACAAAGTGGAGATGCTCTACTGGCTCCAACAGCAGCGGCGGGTTCACTATCTGGGCCAGGACAAAAAGGCCTCCCAACAATCAGCCCTGTTCAAAAGGCGTAACAGCCAGTCTTTAGTAGTTCCTGGGAACACGCCCAATACCCTTTAACCAGACCAAGCATCCTCAAATCTCTCCCTCATCTCCAAACACTCAACAACTCATCCAGACCTCTTGATGGCTTTGGAAGAAGAAATATGGGTATCTCTAGCTGGGGGTGCAGGTCTCAGGAGCATTGCACTTCGAACTACAAAGGACTGAGATTTAGTCTTTGAAAGTGAAGTTCTCACAAAAGAATTCCCAAGTCCAGTATTCCCATTTATGTCAACAGCTTGGTAGAATATAATCAAAATCTCTTATCAAAAAAACTGAGACTGTCCCTTACAAAACATCAGACAGACAAACCATAATCTTTGGAACATTCTTGTCCTTTAACATTTCTATCTCAGAAATAAATTGGATGATCAGAGCCCTAATTAATGGCGTAACAGTTAAGAACTAGGGCTCAGGAGTCAGATATGGATTTAAATCCTGGCATGTGATCTTAGGCAAGTTACCTGACTTCTCTGCCCTTGGATCATCATGTCAAATGAAGGAGTTAAGTTCAGGTTACCCCTTCCAGTTTTTGCATTTTATTGGTAGGGCTCAAAGTTTTAATTAAATTTTTACCAACTAATACAAGCATCTGGTACAAAGTATATCAGAGTGTGTACTGAAACGTAAATCTCACTCCCATGGCTCCTTTGGATCCCTGCTTTCCTCTCTGGTATAACAACTGTTACCAGTTTCTCATATTTACTGAGCATCAATTAGGTGTTAAATGCTTGGTCTACATCAGTGAACAAAACACAGACCATTACAACCTTTGTAGAGTTTATATCCAATTAGGAGAAAACAGACAATAAGCCATAAACATGGCACTTAAGCACATTGAATAACTGAACATTTGAAGGTGATGAGCATTCTGGAGAAGAGAAGAGTAGGGTAAGAGGAATTCTAGAGGATGGTGGGCTAGTTTTAATTACAGTGGCCAGGTACAGGCCTCACTGGGAAGGTAAGACTTGAGCAAAATCTTGAAAGAGGTGAAAAGTGAGCCCTGTGGACATTCAGGAGGAGAACTTTCCTAACAGCCGTGGCAGAGCCAAAATAGGCCATGCCTAGGGTATTCTGGCCACAGCAAGGTGGTCGGGGGCTGCAGAGTGAGGGGGAGAGACAAGTCCAAGGGTCATGACAAGGTGTCATTGGGCAAATTAGAAGTGGTAAGGCCTTTAGATCACATATGAACTATTTCAGAGATAGCCTGTGCATATATGAGCTTATTTGTACACATCTTTGCAATTTATAACTACACCAATGGTCTCAGCCTAGACCTGTGTTTTGTCCTTCCTTTTTTTTAATTACTGCATATACCTCAAACTCATTTATACGTGAATTTAATATACATCCAACTATACAATAATTCTTTTGACAGCTCTACAGTATTCCACAGTGTGTGTGTATATCTCATTTAACCAGTCCCTTGTATCAGACAATCTCAAACAAAAATGTTGCTCTAAAAAATTCCTTGTTCGGGGATAGGGATGTAGCTCAGTGGTGGAGTGCTTACCTTACATGCTTGAGGTCTCAGGTTTGATTCCCTAGCACCACAAAGAAAAATCCTCAGGGAAGAGGATTTATGTAGCTCAGTGTTAGAGTGCTTGCCACACATGCATGAGGCACTGGGTTCGATCCTCAGCACCACATAAAAATACATAAAGATGTTGTATTCAAAAAAAAAAAAAAAGAGGAGTTTAAAAACAAAAATACTTGTTCATCTATTTAGCCTGTGCATCTCTAGCTCTAGTTGAAGTCCCTGGAAATGGAATTAGGTTGAGCATAAGATTTTGTACTTTAGATAGATATCAGCCAGTACCCTCCACCCTGATTACAACACTTATGTTCATCCATCACTGCATGAGGGTGTCTCTTTTTCTATGCTCACTAATAGAGTATGTTATCAAATTTTTGGTTTTTTAAATTTTATGTATTTTTAAAATATTTTTAGTTATACATGGGCACAATATCTTTGTTTATTTTTATGTAGTGCTGAGGATCGAACACAATGCCTCACATATGCGAGGTAAGCATTCTGTCACTGAGTCACAATCCCAGCCCTTTATGAATTTTTAATTAAAAAAAATTTTTTTTGCAGTGCTGGAAATAGAACCCAGGGCCTCATACATGCAAAACACTTTCTCAACCACTAGGCTACATCCCCAGCCCATATCCAATTTTTATTTATTTTTTTAGTTGTAGTTGGACACAACACCTTTATTTGTTTGTATGTGGTGCTGAGGATCAAACCCAGGGCCTTGCGCTTGCTAGGCGAGCGCA